ATGTACACTAATTTTTCGTTTATTTGTTTTATTTTACACGTAAATTTAATTTACGGTAATAATTTGAGATCTCGGGTATCTAGATTAATGTTATTGATATATTTTTATTAATAAACAATTTTAACATTTATTTCAAAAATTTTCTAACGTAAGGGTACAAAAATTTTACGCCATCGTAATGAGAAAAGTAATCTTTATCAAATGAGCTTAACGAAAGAATACATTGCCATTTAAAAAAATGTAAGTATTATTTGTTACTCATTTGTTTTCTGAATTAAAAACAATTGAATGCAGTCTTATTATGNCATAAAATTTGGTTGATTTGGATTTGATTTTTTAAATTTTAAATTATTAAAACAACTTTAATTCGAACACAGAGGTCGCAATAGAGGTACAACCTGTAAATTTCTTTCTTTTCAATTTTACAACCCGATTTTTAATTGTTTCACGTTAACTTTTTAATTTTTAAATGTTTCTTCATAATAATTTTGACGCAGTAAGTATTTTTAGTTGTTTTTCAAATATTAACATTAATTAACACACATGTTTAAAACCGTTATAGTTTATAATTTAATCCTTTGTAGCGTCTTTGAAGATGATTAAGTTAATTACAAAGTAATTAATAAATCTAAAACCAGTAAAAAGTACAGTTTGATTATTTATTTTAATTATCAAAAACTGGTCGATCGTGAATCAAATAAACCCTTATGCTTTAGTTATTTTTTAAGTTTTTAATAAAAAAAAATTGTGATTTAACTTACCGCTGAAAAAGTATGTAATAACTGCACCCTTCCATCATTTAACGCAATAATACTAATCCCCATATCTTTAATCACCTTCAAATGATTCATATTAGAAGCACTAAATTCGGCAGCCGTAAGTCTTCGTTTCCCAATTCTTCTAGGACACATCCCATCGACCATATTCCTTAAAGGTTTCCTCACCGATTCGGGGAATAACGTCAAAGAATTCGGGCATATTCTAGCGTATTCGTAATAATAATCTTCAGTTTCCTCTTCGATTAGAGTATTATTTTTATAACTAGATAAACTCAACGGTAACAAGTGCCCCTCAGTCGTAAAAATAAACTCGTCCAAATTCAAAATTAAATCCTCCCGATCGGCGAATAACAAATATAGATATTTTAACGTTTCGGCCAATACAAACGAATCCATACGATCTTCCTGCCTTCCTGTACGAACATCGTTCACAGCGGCGTAACCACAAGGAACTCGAGCGTATTTTTGTAAACTTTTTAAAACGTTTCGACCAACTTCGAGGTAATAAGGATCGTTTGTTGCTGTGTACAAAAAGTATGTTGACTCTAAAAATTCGGGTCTTAACGGATGATTACCCCAGTGTACTTGAAAATCAGTCGTAAACGCTTCCGGAATAAATTTATGCCGCTGCATCACTTGGTATAACATCTCGTGGGTTTCAACCGCCGGTTTTATGTCGCCCTTTAAAACTTGCAATCCGGGCCAAAATGCTAATAAGGCATCCATGTAATTTCTTGAATTCGTATGTGGTCGATGCATGTGTACGTCTAATAACATTGGACCTTGAGAAATGTATTTCATAACGGCGTTATAATGGCGATTGAAACGGTTTAAATAACGATCATCGCCGAGTAAAATGTAAGCTTTCAAACAGTACTCGTAGTATGAGTCGATTCCGGCCCCAACGCCTGAATCCCTTCGAATCCAATCACCTGAGTGTACGTTTAGAACTGTTCCCATTAAATCGGAGCTTCTATGTCGCATCTTCCATAATTCATCCATCGCCCGATGGGCTTTTTCTTCGAAAATTGGTTCTCCTGTTAATCGTGAAAGAGCTGCCATTTCTAAGATTATCGAACCTGCACAAGCTGTGCAAGTTTCACGGGAAGTTTCAAGTCTATCTCCTTTTATACCATACTTTAAATTAATCTAAAAAGAAAAGAAAAAAAATTAGTACATAATTAAATTTTTATTTATGTATCAAATTTTAGACTTTTTATAATATCAGATAATATTCAAAACATCAAAAGGATCTTTAATTACACTAGACAACAAATTTAGATTTTTTTAATTTTTCTTTAGTAACTATGTAGTTTTACTTTCTCTTACAGTCGTAATAATAGCAATAAACTAATTTATACTTGCACGTCAAGTTTTGGTACAAACAGTATATCTGTAAGCTTTCTTATATAAAAGTCGCTTTGAAATTCTGTAAGAATCTGTTTTGATCAAAACATTTCCAGAAGTTTTCTATACAAAGTCTCCCTTTTAATAGTATTATGGCAACAATACTCTCAAATTACCATTACTTATTTCATTTACCAAATGATTAACTATATATTTGAGATAACTTTGCATGCGATATTAAGCTCAAGATTATGTTGACAGAAGAATGATAGCGATTAACCTACATAGATGAGATCACCAATTCCTCTCTTTCATAATTAATAATAATAAATCATTTATTAGCACTGTGGGACAGTGCAGAAAAACATTGATAATGTGGCGGATCTCCGGTACAATATAGGGACAACAGATGCGAAGAAATTTGAAGTCAACTCGCTTTTATTTTTGAAATAGCCGTTTCGATAACACTACCTCAGTAAAGGAAAAAGTTCCAATACCATCTCTGAAGTGAGTTTTATAATACTCTAGCAAAGACTCGTCTAACTGAAAGTTGTGTTGAGAAGAGATAATCCAGAATTTATTAATTTCATTACAATCCGAGATTAATATTAAGCCATATGACGTTCTTCGATTTAATAATGTTATTTCTTAGAAACCTCCATTTATCAGCATTTGAGGTATTGCTTAAAATAAGTTTTCTTTTCAGATTTTAGAAGTTATTGGTATCCAGAGTTTTTCGTTTTCGAGTTATTTTGATTTTAAATTTTTTTTTGTAAATTTCACCATGCTCTGTAAATCCCCATATCCCCGCCAACGTTCATTCAAAAAAGCTCTAAAGTGGCACGATTATTGTTCAGATGCTGTCAAATAGATTGTCATTTGTTGTATCAGAGTATTTTATACAGGCTGGTCAAAAACTGAATTACCGTTTCTCCATATTCAATGGGGAGAAAGTCGAAAATTTTAAATGGAATGCCCCACATTTTATAAGTCTATCCGAAAGGTAATTTAATTCTCTACAACTTATCTATAAGCATTCTTATTCCTAGTCTCGCTTTTTTTTTGGTCTCGATATGTCGACAACTAAGAAAATGTTTATCAATTTGTATGCATCCTGTATATTTTATCATATTATGAATAGAATTAAATTTGTTTATATAACCGTTTATGTTACTAACTCATAGCGTTCATAGTTCCTGAGATAGTCAATTGTTTTTCCAAAATGTGTGTTTTTAAAAACGATGTAAAAACGTTTTTCCCAATTTTGCCTTGAAACTATGTCAGATAATAGTCAAAGCCAGTAGGTAAATGATAGTATTCAAAGATATTAGATACGCTATACAGCGTGTTCATAAAGCTTAGTTACTTTTGATGTTTTTCAAAGACTTTTTCATAAGTTTTTTAATTGGAGCATCCTGTATATTGTGTGCTGGTTGAATTGCCCATCAAGTTACCTTTAATTAATGATAAGTGTGTCATATATCTAACTCTAGTATTTTTCCTGATATTTAGAATTTAAAGAATAATGTGTAATAAAATATGAGTTATTGATTATTGATTATGAGTCTATTTTTATCAATTTTTTTTTGCTCTTCCTTTTATTACTTGATAAATATTTTATAATGTAAAATAATTCTGCTGCCAAATACCAAATTTTAATGCGACTTGGTACTTTATGAGATTTAAAAAGATATACATAAGTAATAAAATATGCAATTGTTCTACCATATAATTTACGACTTTAGAGAAAATAAGATGCACATATTAAGAGATACCTCAAGGTCTTTTATACAGCGCATTAATGCTTGTAGAAGAGAAAATGGGCGGCATTTTGAACAACTTCTAAATATTAATTAAATTAATACCTACTGCATTTCCTTCAAATAATTTAGTAATTAAAAAAGGGATTTATTGTTCTGCCATTTAATCGTATTGTTTGTATTTTTATCACGTTTTGATTATTTATTTATTAAAGTTTTTTTTAAATTGTATTTTAATATAATATTACTGATTTACAAATGACAGACAATCAAAAAAGAAAAAACAAAAAAAAAAAGACAACAAAAGGACAGAATATATTACATTACATTCTGTCACTTTTTTAAGTACAATAATGAAATTTTATTACACATATTTCTTTAAATTTAAAAAAAAAACTATTAAAGTTAGACATATGACATACTTATCATTAATTAAAGGGAACTTGATGAGGAATTCAACTACCACACAATATACAGGGCTGTTCCATTTAAAAACTTAAGAAAAAGCCATTTGAAAAATATCAAAAGTAACTGAGCTTTTTAAACAGCCTGTATAGTGTATCTAATATCTTCGAATACTATCATCTATTTCGTTTTTACATCGTTTTTAAAAAGATCCTGTAATGGGCACATTTTGGAAGAACAATTGAATATGTCTGGAACTATGAACGTTGTGAAATAGTAATGAAAAGTAGTGAAATATATAATCGTATAAACAAATTTAGTTGTATTCATAATATGATAAAATATACAGGATGTTCCATTTAAATAAATTGACGTACTCTC